ARGKKKYCCTKSCMWKGSMRSGGTGGCACTSRATGATCTCTAAGGTCCCTCCCAACYCAAACCATCCCAGAATTTTCTGACYTTKTTYYCTCYATGGATCYRTGTGTTCTGCAATCCCAGACATGCCCTGAGTCACAGCAGTGACCAGGAGCAGCAAGAACACCACAAAGAGGGGAAGAAGTGTCCTCTGAACATGCAGATTTTCATTTTGGAGAGCACTTTGCAGCTCTGCAGTTAAAGGAATTCCTCCTGCTGCCAGTTGAGGTGGGGTTTCCCCCTGTGTTCCCAGCCAGCATCCTCCAGGATGTCGTTCCCAGTTTTTCTGAAAGCGGCAGGAAGCACTGAGTGCATTATCACAGGGAATGTTTAGAGAAGGCAGAGTTTTATTGGATCAGCTTGAAATTGAGCTGTTTGCCTGTGGGGTAGCAGAAGAATAAAAAGGAATAAAAKAATAAAAAGGAATRAAAGARTAAAAAGGAATRAAAGAATAAAAAGCAGCRAAGCAGATCCGTAACCATTTCCCTCCTCCCGCGGTGAACCCCACAAGCAATCCCGCTCTGATAAATCCCCTCTAAGAGCAGAATTTGTCCATTTATGGCTCTAATCCCTCTCCATTGCAGCAGCAGCAGCAGCAGCAGCAGGGATGGGAATGCTGCCATTCTTCCCCAGCCAGCACATGCTGGGCCAGGCTCTTCCTGGGCCCAACGGAGCTGCAGACAAAGGCACCGCCGAGACATCGGGATCGGGATTGGGATCGGGATCAGCCCCGGGATCACAGCCCTTCCCACAGCCCCTGCCCARCCTGGCCACAGGAGCTCTGCGTGCTGCACGCTCCAAACCTCCCAGCCAGCTCAAAACCTCGGAGCCAGCCCTGGGGGTAAGTGGGACCAGCACTAATTCTTCTCTCTGAGGGTTTTCTCTTTATTTTCGCTGTGAAATCGCTGCATCGCAGGAGCATCTGTGGGACACCCTGAGGTCACTGCAGTGCTGACAGGAACAGAACAATGCTGCTCCTTGGTGGTCCAGCTGAATGAACAAAGGCATCTCCATGGGGCTGGAGGGCTTTTTAACTTGGGTTTGCCTCACAGTGTTGGATGATGAAATTTATCTGCAGGGTAAAAATTGACCTCGTGGTTGAATTTCATGAGAATCAGTTCTGGTGGTGTAGGAACCATTGGGYTTCAAGGTGGTTGTGTGTCTGTGCATTAAAGTTATCCACTTCTAATTATCAGTATTTTAAAATATTAKTAAAAATACTTCTGAAAAATATTACTTAAAATTTTGTTTAAATACATTATTATTAAAGGTGAGGTGTGGGGATGATGAGATGGGATCYAAGTTGAACCAGAATTGTCTCATTCCTTCAAAAGTTTTTGTCTGCCATTGACAAAACTTAACCTTTTTTATAATATACCTAAATACTTTGACATTTATGGGGAAATATGTTTAATTCAGGTCAGGCCATGATTTTCCTAACATTTGGCCTCTATTTCCTCGTGTCTCCAAGTGAGAGAAGTCAGTTTTGTCTTGGCTCCRTGCTTAATGTTCACTCCCTGCATCTGGAATCGCTCGGGTGATTATTATCCCTTCCCTCGCATATAAAAGGTTTCCTTTTGTTTGTTTGTTTTGTAATATCCTTTAGGAACTTGCAGTCTGAAGAGAAACATTCCTGCAAAACCATTTGGGAGAAAAAAGTGCAGGCGCTGTGTCCTGATTGTCCACAGGCTTGACTTCAAAAGTTTCATTTTATTTCAAAAGGTTTTTTACATAGCTTTTTCCAAGACCCTGCTGAGCCACTTAACCTTTCTGTTAAATTAAATTTTTCTGATTATCTTTCTGATCAATTTGATGTGGATTTAATGCAAACTGTCCTGTTTTTCAGACTCCCTTGAAAAAACAGACTTCTCTGCTCGGGGAACCCCCGAAAGAAATCCGGCTGAGCACCAACCCCTACTTGAATTTGGCAAGTGTTCTGCCTGGGATCTGCCTGCCAGGTAAGCAAACATTTCCTGGCTTTCATTGCAAATTCCCACAGCCAGAGTGTGGCAAATGTTTATTCTKTTGAGCTGGTAAATTAATTGATCACAAGGTCATTTATTTCCTCAAGGAAATCTTGGATTGTGAAGTGTTTTATCGGGGTGAATATTCAGAGGTAATGAACTCACAAACTTCTAGAAGTTTTTCAATTATTAGCAGCACTGATTRACTTGGGACACAGATGAGGCAAATTTCAGTTTTAATCCTGGGACAGAAACGAATTTTTGTGTTTTATACAAGCCAGGTGTTGATTTTAGTGTGTTTTTTGTGCTCCCAGCAGCAATTGCCAGCAAAGCCTCCAGCCCCCCGCAGCAGAGCAGCCTTCCCAGCGTGGTGGATGCTGCAGTGGCTCAGGGAACTGCATCACAACACTCCATGGARAATTATTTCAGCTACTCCCAGCAGCCTGGGGAGTTCCCACAGGTAGGAGTTGCACAGCTGCTGTTTTTAAAATCTCTGGGATTCTCCTGGTTTTCTCTGGGTGCCCAGCACCAGGAATCTCTCCTGGCCTTCCCTGCAGCCAAATCCCCTCTCCTCTTGGAGCAGAATCTCTCCACTGCCACTTTATCTCTTCCAGTGTTCAGAGCAGATTTAGCACAAAGAATGTTCCCTGCTGAAATCACAGCCCTTGAAAAATTGCTTTTTGAGAGCCTGAACTTGGGGCACTCACTAAAAAACAGCTTCTCCCAACCTCTGTCGTGGCTTTTCTCTGCCTCCAAAAGCAGGGAGCTTTGTCTTTGCCTTCTGGGGAGTTTGTGAGTGTTGGATCCCAGAGAAGGGAGCTCTGCCTCCCAGTTGTGCCCAGTTTGGGCAGTGTTTGCAGGCTGGTTTGGTGCACAGGATGTGTGCACCCATGGGTGAGCAGAGCGTGGGGTGCAGGGCCTGGAGAGTGTTGGGTGCTCAGGAAATCCCACAGGACACTGGGAAAGAACATTCCCATGTTTCCATTAAAACTGGGACTGTGGGTGGATCAATCTGAGATCTGCCTGCTCCTTGATGGGGACTCTGCTGGGCTGCTGGCAGGGACAGCTGGGTGCTCCCAAATTCTGGRAGTGAGGCGGCTCTGGAGCATGGAGAGGTTGGAATTGGGAGGGTGGGGGGCACAGGGTCATGGACAGAGCTCTGCCAGGGCCAGAATCAGAGCTCCTGAATCAGAGCTAAAGGGGCTCCAGGAGAGCTGGAGAGGGACTGGGACAAGGGATGGAGGGACAGGACACAGGGAATGGGGTCACACTGCCAGAGGGCAGGGATGGATGGGATATTGGGCAGGAATTCCTGGCTGGGGGAGGTGAGGCCCTGGCACAGATCCCTGGAAATGGATTCCACATCACAGGAATCCTTCCCTCACTGCAGGCCACTGGTGCCTCCTGCGTTTTTTAAGCATTTCCCATGATTTTAAACGTTTGATTGGTGCTTCAGCAGTGGTGTTAAAGGTGTTGTGGAGCTCCTGGGAGAGCTGTGGGCAGACACGGGAGGGGTTTTGCTGCTCTGCAGGAGCCTGCCCAGCCCTGGTACCACCCTTATGCCCAGGCCAGAGCGGAGGGCTCTGAAAATGAAGCCTCTGAGGTGAGAAGGAATGGAATTTCTGTGCTGGCTGCACTGGCTGCTGCTCCCCTCAGCTCCTGGGCACCCGCTCTGCGTGTGGCAGTGGCACAGGGGTGAGGGCACTGCATGGGCACTGCTGCAGGGCAGCCCTGGCTCACCCCAAAACCCCACATCCCAAATCACCTGAACGCTCTGGAATGTGTTCAATATTCCCACCAGGAATATTTAGAATTCCACCAGCAGTGCACTGTAATGGCCAGTAATTTCCCATTGCTGAATGTCCTTGAAGGGCTGTTTCTTGCCCAAGCTGAGGTTTCTGTGACCAAAGACACGTTTTTTAAGGAATTACACAAATTAACCCATCCCAAAATCCCACAGTTTGCTCCAGGAATTGCTGCACACCCGATCTGCTGTGAATTGCACCTGCTGTTACCCCCTGAGTGTGACTTGGGTATTTCCATCCCTGCTCAGAGCTCATCCAGGAAAAATGAATTATTAAACCTATTTTCTTCCCGCTGCACGGATCCTGTCCTGGATTCAGGAATCTCCAGGTGGATCCTTCCCAGATTTCAGCACCCACCTGCAGGTGGTGCCTGCCCTTGTGGGAGCCCAGGGAACCCAGCTGGGCCCGCAGCCTCCTCCAGGAAATCCCTTCCAGAAGGTGAGGAGAGGAAAAAAGGGAAAGGAAAAGGAAAGGAAAAAGGAAAGGAAAAAGGAAAGGAAAAAGGAAGGGAAAAAGGAAAGGAAAAAGGAGCTGTGGCTGCAGACACTCCTTCCTTGGCTGGTGCTGCCCCCGAGAGGAGTTTTCCCTGCATCCCTGCTCCACACAATTCCCAGGAATGGGAGAAGTGGTTGGGTCAGTGCCAGTCCCTGGGGATCTGCTCCCCTCAGTGCCCCAAGTCCCACAGGCAGGGCAGGGGTTTGAGAGTTTCTGAGAGACGGGAATGTGCAAGAATGCCTGCAAGGAGGAAAATAAAGTAGGAAGGAAAGAGGAGGAAGAGGAGGAAGAGGAGGATCGCAGTGGATTTAAATGGCATTTGCCATCCCACATCCCACTGCTCCTGTTCCCATGCATGGAGGGGCCTGACCCTTCCTCACAGCCCTAAATCCTGCGGGGTCAGCTCTGCCATCACACAGGGCATGAAATCCCCATTTTCCTGAGATGTAGAAGGCTGTGCATTCCTTCCAACCCCACAAATTCCTGAGTTGTCTCCTGGGTAGGAGCTGATCTGAAATGCCTTGGGCACGTCCTGCCCTTGGCACAGGAGCAGGGTCAGGACCCTTTAACCCCTTCAGCCCTCCAGGAACAATGAAATCCTCATCCTAAAAGCCGGAGCAGCTGCAGGACACCACCAGGGATTATCCCACTGGATTTTATCCAGGTGTTCCGGGCACCACACACGGTTCTTCATCAGTGGGTTTTTTTTTTAGGAAAAGAGCACAAACTGATTGTGGARCACCACACACGGATCTTTTATCAGTGGGTTTTTTTTTTTTTTTAAGGAATGGGCAGAAATGCGGACTCAGGAGCACTACACATGATTCTTTTTTCAGTGGGATTTTTTTAAAGAAAGGGCACAAACCCTTATTCTGCAGCACCACACACGGTTCTTTTATCAGTGGGGTTTTTTTTAGAGAAAAGGCACAAACCCTGATTCTGGAGCACCACACATGATTCTTCATCAGTGAGGTTTTTTTAAGGAAAAAGGCACAAACTGGAGCTGGACCTCAAAAGCTGAAAGAGTTGAGCCTTCGGCGTCACTTCCCAGCTCCCACTCTGGGAATTGCCAGCCTGGAGCGCTGTTTTTTGGGAATGGTGGATYGTGTGTCACTTGTGCTGTCCCCTCGCAGGTGGCCCCGAAGCGCAGCTCCTCGTACCTCGTGTCCTCCCCCGAGCCCGGCCCTGCAGAATTCCCAACTCCCGGCTCCGTGCGCTACACGGAATCCTCCCTCAAGAAGAAGCGCGTGTACTGACAGGGTCCCCCATTCCCAGGGGTGATGGATCCCCATTCCCATGGATTCCCATTCCCGTGAAGTGATGGATTCCCATGGCGTGATGGATTCCCATGGATTCCCATTCCCAGGGGTGATGGATTCCCATTCCCATGGATTCCTATTCCCGTGAAGTGATGGATTCCCGTGGGGTGATGGATTCCCATGGATTCCCATTCCCATGGATTCCTGTTCCTGTGAAGTGATGGATTCCCGTGGGGTGATGGATTCCCATGGATTCCCATTCCCATGGATCAATGGATTTCTGTGGATCAACGGATTTCCATGGATTCTCATTCCCATGGATGAATGGATTCCCGTGGGGTGATGGATTCCCGTGGATGAGTGGATTCCCATGCACCAGTGGATTCCCATGGATTAACGGATTCCCATGGATTCTCATTCCCGTGGATCAACGGATTCTCATGGATTCTCATTCCCATGGATTGATGGATTTCTGTGGATCAATGGATTTCCGTAGATTTCCACTCGCGTGGATCRATGGATGGATTCCCATGGCTCAATGGATTCCCATGGATTCCTATGGATTTGCATGGATTCCCATAGATCGATGGATTCCTATGGATTTCCATGGATCCCATGGATCGATGGATTCCCATTGGTTCCCATTTCCACGGATTCCCATCCCTGTGGATCAATGGATCCCCATGGATCCCCATGGATCAATGGATTCTCATGGATCAATGGATTCCCATGGGTTCCCATCCCCGTGGATCAATGGATTCTCATGGATCAGTGGATTCCAATGGATTCCCATTTCCATGGATTCCCATTCCCATGGATCCCCACAGATCCCCATCCCCGTGGATGGATCCATTCCCATTCCCTGCCCGGGGAGGGAAGGCAGGTGGGAATCCATCCCTCTGTATTTATTGCTGCCTTAACTTCAGCCAAGGAGTTCTTGGGTGTGGGGTGCGTGTCCAGGAGGATCCCTCCCTTCCCTGGGGACAGGAGGGGACAGCGCTGGCTTTGTCACCTTTGGGCTGAGGGACAGAGCCTGGGGGGCTGGGACAGCTCCAGCCCAAAGCAATAAAAACCCGGAGTGAGGAAAGCCCATCCTTTAGGCARGTTAGAAGAGGAAGTCTCCCTAAGAATGATTTTGTATTTTTTTAACTCAGAATGTCGGGGGTTTTTTCCCCAACCTTCCTTTTTTTCCAGGATTAAGAGTTCTGCATTTACAGCCTTTGGATTTTTAATATTCCTTCTTAATCCTGGGATGGAGCGATACCAAATGTATTCCCAGAGCCTCGTGCTGGGCTCAGTAAATGCCTGCTCCAAGGGAGATCTCATCTCTCCTGTGCTGCCTTGGAATATTCCCTGCGATCCTGGGACAGTGGAATAACTTTTTCTGGTTTTAGGCTGAGAATCCACAGCTTTTCCATGGATGAATTCATTCCCAGTGTGTGGCTGTGCCCGTGTGAGGCCCCATCCTCCTCCCACAGCCGTGGGACAGCTCTTCCTGGGCCACCCCACATCAGTTCCCAATTTCGAGTGTATTTTCCCTGTTTTTTTAAAGACTTYTTGTATTTTTAGCTCCTTACCAGCTCTGGCTCGAGTTGTTCTCTCTGCCATCAGTCCTTGTGATGATCTGCCCTCGTTCCAAGGCTTTGCCCCTTGGAATCCCACTGCAAATCCATTTGGGACTGAGTTCACCGAGGCCAGGAGTCACCTCCTTTCTCCCTTCTCCTTGCTAGAGAACCCTGAAGCCATTTTTCAATAMTGATTTTTTTTTTAAATTAAARKYYTWAAACTTTTGCCTTTCAAGCTTTGGGATGTGACCAGGATCCACATTTTCAAAGCTTAAAAAAATCCCAATCAAAATCCCTCATCCCTCAGCTGCTGGATCCACAAACAGGAGCTGGGAGYTTTGCTGGGATTCTGCCTGTATGTATGGATAAATTCACTTGTAATATTTTGTTTCAACTGTTTGTATATGCAACTTTCTCAACTTGTTACACTTTTCAATGAAAATAAAATTGTTGGTACTTATTTCACCTGGATTTCTGTGGGAGGAAAACGGCTCTGGACTCTTCAAACCAGGTAAGGTAGGAAAATTATTTTTAAACAATGTTCCTATGAAAATTCCATTTTAAAAACTCTGTTTAATTTCTGATGAAAAACGGAGGCACATGGAGAAAAAAAAATTCTTTATTAGACTGGTTTGTATAAAGAGTAACAAAGTGCTTACAGATTGAATTCAGCTTCCTAAGTGACATACAGAAACAATAACACTGTAAAAATAAATCTGACCTCCTCGGAGCTCATAATTACAATTTTTATATATATTTATATATATATTTATATATAGACCTCTTTCTATTATTGCCAAAACTTGAGGATCCCTTCAGAGCATTTCCCAGCTCCAGATGTGGGAGGAAAAACCACGGCTCGAGTTTGGGACCTGGGGAAGGTTCCAGTTCAACCTCTCAGGGCTGAGGCAAAATGTCCTTTAAAGGTTTGTGATGGAGGGTTCCCATTCCCTGGGATATCCCTCTTTTTTCCTTTGGATAATCCCCCCCAAATTCTGCTCAGGGATTGGGTTCTTCCCATCTCCATTATTTCCTTCCCTGCACATCMACCCCCTCCATCCCCTCTGGAAGCTCCAGGGGGTGGAATGTGGGACTGGAGTCAGGAAAAGCAAATTATTTAACCCAAAATTGGGGTTCTCTGAAATGCACAACTGTGCACACCCCTCCACCTTTCACAGGGTGGATTTTTGAACACTTTAAATCCTTGTAAGAGCTCAGGACTGGGGCCTGCTGGGGTGAAATGAGCTGATAATTTTGCCTTCCCTGTATTTTTATGCCAAAGTTTTGTTTGTTACTAGAWTTTAAGTGCATATAAAGGGTATTTTATCAGCCAGCTTTAAAATTCTGAACACAGAATTTTAAATTAAAAATTCCTCTTAAAATTCAGAATGCAGCTCTCTTCCATCTGCTGGCTGAGCTTTGAGCTGAGAAATGCAGAGGWTTTTCCCAGCTCACATTATCCACATCAGTGGCACAACCAGAACCAGAGCAGGATAAAACTGCCCTGCAATCACAGCAGCAAAGGGAGCTGGAGCTCGTTTTGCCCAAAATTTTAAATTCTTTTCATCCAACTCTTAAATCTGTTGGCAAAAGAATTCTTTTGTAACCACATCAGCCCAGCCAGAGCACAATTTACAGGAGTAAAAATACAAAAAAAA